TTAAATTTTAAATTTAAAATTTTAAATTTTAAATTTTAAATTTTAAATTTTAAATTTTAAATTTTAAATTTTAAATTTTAAATTTTAAATTTTAAATTTTAAATTTTAAATTTTAAATTTTAAATTTTAAATTTTAAATTTTAAATTTTAAATTTTAATTTAAAATTTTAAATTTATAAATTTTTATTTCAAATTTTAAGTTTTTAGTTTTTAATTTTAACTTTTAAATTTTAGATTTTTAATTTTTAATTTTAAACTTTAAATTTTAAGTTTTTAGTTTTTAATTTTAACTCTTAAATTTTAGATTTTTAATTTTTAAGTTTAACTTTTAAATATTAAATATTAAATTTAAAACTGAAAAAGTCAAAGAAGAATAAGGGGTGGACCGAGATTGGGGGTCATTTGTGGGGGATGGAGCGAAAAAAGAATGAAAATTTTCCTTGATTTTTTAGTAAGTTTTTTTCTCACATTGAAGGAAAATATTCTTCTTGGAAAAATATTTCTACTCCATTAATGTCACCTAACACAGGAAAATAGAATCAAAATTTTTCTGAAAATACTTTCCCCACATCCTAAATAATTTACAAATGGTTACTACATTACGGAGTCAAAAGGGAAGGTGATGACGGATTTAAAATTGGGAGGGTGTGTCGGTGGTAAAAGCTTAGGCTAAATTCAAAAGGCCCCACCCGTTTGGACAATCGTTATGTCACCGGAATTTGTCCGTAGTTAGACCGGAACTCCTTTTTTTTGGCGGCTTTTCCACCCATTCAATGCCCTACGTTATTTTCTGACCTATGATTTAAAATTTTTTATTCTTTAAGTAAGACTTAATAATGTTTAGTAAAAAAATAATATTCAGTAATGATAGATATTTTCTTGAATAATGACTAATAGAAAATAACCAGTGGTCTCAAATTGAAAAATAAAAACATATAGGCTCCGTTTGGTACATGGAATTCAAACTATGGAATTGGAATTGATGACTTCAATTCCAATTCTATTGTTTGGTAGCACAAAAATTATGTAGATTTGGAATTGATAGTGCAAAAAATGAATTGAAATTGACAGAATTCAATTCTATGGAATTGAATCCCATGGAATTACAATTCCAATTCAATTCCACCAATTCCATATACCAAACGGACCCATAGTCCTATATTGAGAAAGTCATTATGTTTTCATCCTATTTAGGTAAATTTCCCTTTTAAATACCCCTTTGCCTCATATATTTCATCATATTTTATTTTTTACAATATTCAATAAAATATCTCAAGCGTTAATATCTTCATTATTAAATTTAATTCAAATACATAGCATAAAAATATGACATTTTAAAGTTACATTTCGAAATGAATCTATTGATATTAAACATTTAATAATTTGTGATCAAAGTTTAAAAATATTAACCATAAATATCAAAACAAGAAGAAAGATATGAGACTACATAAAAGGGGAGATAATTAGACTCAAGCAATTTAACTTGAGTCAAAATGTTTTTTTCCCTCTTGATGTAATTGCATGCGTGTTTCGGAGTAATTACTAACTTAATCGTAGGCTTATTATTTACTCTAATCTAATATGTGCCTCCTCTTTTAAATATTACTCCCTCTATTGATGGCTTTGAAATACTCCCTGCCTTCCTAAAAAAGTTCATGTTTTGACTTTTAGCCAAATTAAGAAAATTGTAATTTTGGTTGACTTTCCAATTTTGCCCCTGATGTGATGGATAAAAGTAAGATGTGATAGTTTGGTTATTAGTGAAAAAGTATGATGTGATAAATAGGGTATGAAAAAAGTAGGGGTAAAAATAATTTTTTAATAGAAAAAAGAAGTATTTTAGGGAATTGAAAAAAAATGAAAGATGATGGATTTTGTTAGCTGGCAGGCATATTTAAGAATTGAAAAAAGTACTCCGTTCAACTTCCAAGAATGTCCCTAACTATTTTAATTTGGGGGTGAAATAATTTGGGCGGGTATAGGTAAGTGGTAAAGTGGAACTACTACACCTAAAAAGTAAGCCAAAAAAAAGAACGATCTGGAAAGTGAGAAGAACATCATTGGAGACGGGAAGAGTACATTAAAAGTCGTAATATATATTTATACTCTGCATATAAATAAAAATATTGATAATCAAATGGTGTACTATATATATGAGCCTCGTCTGGTAATCACATTAAAGTAGTATTATATTATTGTTTGCTAAGGTACGTATGTAGGGTAGGGTGATCCAGATGGCCGGGGAATTAAGATATTGTTGCTCTTTTATAGCGGTTTTCTGCGGTCTTGTTATTGCATCTGCTGTTTTAATAGCTATTACGGACCGCAAAAATAAAAGGGCGGCCAGGAAGGTGCCGCTGCCGCAGTACACCGTCACGGGCGCGGCGTTGTCGCCGAACGCCACCCTCTCCGGGAACCTCTTGACAGGGGACTTCGTCTTCACACTCAGGGCCCACAACCCATACCAAAACACCAACAACAAGACCATTTTCTACGGCAACACCACGGAGGTGACCCTCGGCTGTCGGCGGTTCACCCCCTTCCGGATTACGAACGCGCCGCCTTCGTCGTTGGGGTTGTTGTTGCCTCTGATGGGCCCCGCCTCGCTTCCTCCGGGGAACGACTCGCCCGACATCGCCCTCGAACTTCACGTGCGAAACATGGCTTTCCCCGACGACGACGGCAGCGGCAAAACATCCTGCGACATGGCCTTGGCCGTGTCGTTTCACGCGGCGTTTCGTGAGGAGGAGGTGGAATCAAAGCGTCGCCAGGCTTCGGTCCGATGCTCCCCTCTCACATTCACTTATGAAACAAAGAATTTCACGGGGGACTACGTCGGTGCATGTGCTACATCACGAGTTGAGGTTGATATATGAGGACTTAGATATAGAAATATCTAACTACTCCCTTCGTCCCCGAGTATTTGTCAACTTTTAATTTTTTTTTTCTAGTCAAAACTGATAAATTTTGACTTCAAAACTAGACAAATACTCTCGGACGGAGGTAGTACATCATACTCTCCCTTTCCTGGAAAACCTTTATCCTTTCTTTTTTCACCGTCCTAAAAAACTTTTCTCATTTCTATTAAAAAAACATTTTTACCTTTACTAATTGTTAACTTACCTATCACATTACACTTATTCATTATTAATCTACATATTCAATCTTACTTTACCAACCTGTTGGGATTCCTCCAAGTCCCACACCGGAGGGAGAAGAAAAAATGGACCAAAATATATAGGTTCACTCAACCTCATTAGTATGAGGCCTTTTGGGAAGTGCCCAAAAACAAATCCGTGAGGGCTTGGCCCAGAGCGGACAATATCATACTAATGCGGGGTTGGGGTGAGGGCACGCGCAGTCCCAACATGTGGTATCGGAGCCCAGGTTCGTGCGGGCGTGAGCAGCGGACTGTGCAGTGTGGAAAAATCTTGGTGTGACGGTGCAGCAATAGGACCAAGACCAAGAAAGAGGATCCGCAGGTGGTGCCTTGTGTTGAAAGTCTTCCCGACGAGAGGAGGTCGGGCGGCGCGTCCCGTGAAGTTATAGCCACGGCGGTACAAGATGATTTGGCGGATCAAATGGTGTAGCTCAGCGAAGAAAAGATCTGCGGTTCGAGCCTTGCGTCGAAAGTCTTCCCGACAGGAGGTCGGGCGGCGTGTCCCGCAAAGAGTGTGCGGCGGTGCAAGATGGTTAGCAGATAAAAAAGAAGGGGATTACCGCTGGAGGGGAGGTCGGAAGTTGTGTGGTCCTTGGATGAGGGGAGGTTTGTTGGGATTCCTCCAAGTCCCACACCGGAGGGAGAAGAAAAAATGGACCAAAATATATAGGTTCACCCAACCCCATTAGTATGAGGCCTTTTGGTAAGTGCCCAAAAACAAATCCGTGAGGGCTTGACCCAGAGCGGACAATATCATACTAATGCGGGGTTGTAGTGTAGTGTGGTGAGCTTTGCGTCATCTCATCAAAGCATGTCATCTCACCATAATGTGTCAATCCATATATATATATATATATATATATATATATATATATATA